CTGTTGAATCAGTTACACCCATTTAAAGCAATCAGTTGCCTTAGAATAGTAGAGCAGAATAGTTGCAGTAGAGTATTTACTCTAACAACTACTTTATTTCATGTAATTACAGTTCAATAATGGTTTCTTGAACTGAGACTGAACCCTAAAATGGAGAATCTCCATTTAGAATGCTGTGTTATATAGGACTAGGCTTAATCCCTGCCAGGTAAAATAACCCTAAAGGTTTTCTTACACTGACTTACGTTACTAAAAGCTGCACTATGTAAGATATTAAAATTGGGTTGATGTTTGGGTCTCAAATGCATAATCAACATACTGATGAAGATATGATGACAATAGTAGACTCACTTACATCCTTGGAAGACACGTCCTTTACCAAGTTTTGACTGGGTTCTCTTGGAATACTCTTTTAATGTGCTCACAATCATCAGATTCATAACCTCGGAGAAGGGGCACAACCGACATTACAAAAGGTTCTTTTGCACATTGCGTGCAATTACACATTTCTACCAGAGAGGTCTCTAAATCTTACATAATGTAGCTTTATATAAATTCCAGACTTTGGTGGGAATAATGTTACTTGAAAATACTTGCATCAGCTTTCTCAATAATTAAAGTATCATGCAGTTAAAATATATATGTAACTAAGCCTAAACATGCCAGTTCTATGATCTGATTTTGTTAAGCTAAAATGTTACTGGTTTCCATTATTTTGAGTTCTGCTAACTTATGGAGGTTTACAGTGTAGATAAACAGGGATCTTTGGGAATTTTTTGTTGCATGATACAACCTCGTTTCTAAAAAAGTTGGGACACTGTGGAAAATCTAAATAAAAACAGAATACAAGGATTTACAAATCATTTAAACCCTATATTTAATTGAAAATAGTACACAGACAACATATCAAATGTTGAAACTGAGAAATTGTATTGTTTTTTGAAAAATATATTTTGTATAAGTGATAAATCTTAGCAGAAGAAAATAAAAAGCTCTTGGGTGTGTACTAAACACAAATGGAGAAGAAAGTATTAAAAAAACACAGTTAGTTACACTTCCTGCGATCTGCTCTGGCGTACCAGAATGAGTGATGACAGATGATTTCATCCATGCACGCACCTTCTCACGGCAATTTACCCATGAGTTTAGTACACCGTCTTTTTTGCCTGAAGGTGTGCTTGATTCATCAGGAATATTTCTCAATGCCCTGATCACATGACAGAGTATGAATAATGGGTTAGCCTTATGTAAACCCTGAGCACTCATCACAGTGGAACAGCCATGATGCTTGCACTAACTTGTTTTTTTGGGTTAATAACCTGAGAAAACTGTTGGGTTCAGAGTCGTGAATAAGAGTTGTGAATAAGGGATGTGGAATAGTGTGGAAAAGTATTGTAATATGAATTGTACATTGTATTTTTCTTCTTGTCTGATCTGTCATTCAAACCAAGTTCTACTTACAGGTTCGCTAAGATAATGTGATCACAATGGCTTCACTGGAGTGATAAATGTGATTTCATAGCTTTTGTTGAGTTAACGCCACTTAGTTTTGTCCAAAGTTCTCCCAACCCAATTTTTAGTTCTGCGTCTCCAGTGCCAGTCATAGCAGGTCATAGCCGGTCATACCAGGCCCTACTCAAAACTCAACTTGATATATAATGCATCACACATCTGTAGAAAGATGTATATAGTTTTGTGTGATCTCATAATAAGAACATATGGGGACAACCGTGAGGCATATGGGTGTGCTGTATAAGTGTCCACATTCTTTTTTCCAGTCCAATCCCTCATGAAGGTGAAGCTCAAAGTAGGGGGTACTCCTCATGATTGTTGAAGGTGCACTCCTCATCACTGTCGAACTCAAAGCAAAACAGCAATTGACAAAGCTTTCAAACATTTTTGTTTTCTCGCTCACACTTTAATAAGATGAGACCATGTTCATGGCCTATGTGAACAATACAACATGTAGCTACCTGCTTGCTGTCTCATCTCACTGTCAGTGTCACGTTTTTCCTCCCTTGTTGGGTAATAGTGCTTCAAAGCTATTCTGTCACATGTGGACAGGTGCACTTTGTGGTTGCACAATTACTCTGCATACCTTGTTAACCCCCTTTTACCCTGTTCTTCAATAGTCAGGAGCCCCACAGGACCACCACAGAGCAGGTATTATTTGGTCATTCTCAGCACTGCAGTGACACTGACGTGGTGGTGGTGTGTTAGTGTGTGCAGCACTTGTATGAGTGGATCAGACACAGCAGTGCTGCTGGAGCTTTTAAGCACTGTGTCCACTCACTGTCCACTCTATTCCACACACACCTTGTTGGTCCACCTTACAGATGGGCTGTATTGTGTAAATATAGAATTATAGTGGACCATAAGTGAAGCTAATAAAATGGACAAAGAGTGTAGAATATTTTCCTCAAATCCATGTGTGCCATAGTTATTGGTACCCCTTCACTTTGTGCAGCCTCCCTCTGCAAAGATAACAGCTCTCAATCTTCTCCTATAATGCTTAATGTGACTGGAGAACACATGACAAGGATCTGAGACCATTCTCCCATACAGAACCTCTCCAGATCCTTCAGATTCTGTGGTCCACACTGTGGACTCCCGATGGTTTTCCGAGGTTTAGGTCAGGGGACTGGGGTGGCCATGGCAAAACTTTGATTCTGTGGTCAGTGAACTATTTTTGTGATAATTTTAAGGCGTGCTTTGCCCCGCTGGAAGATTCAAACTATGGCCCAGTTTAAGGTTCCAGGCTGAGGTAGTCAGTTTTTGATTTTATTTCTGCTGGTGCTGGGTGGAGTCTGTTCTACCATGCATCTGAATAAGTTGTCCAGGGCCTTCCCTGGAAGAAAAACAGCCTCACAGTATCACAGATCCACTACTGTACTTAACAGTGGGGATGAGGTACTTTTCTGCATGGCTGTTTTGTGTCCATACAAAATCATCTCTGGTGTTTGTTGCCACAAACCTCTATTTTGGTCTCATCTGTCCATAGAACATGGTCCCACTGAAAGTTCCAGTAATGTTTGGCCAACTGTAGGCGCTTGAGGTTGTTGGTCGTTGATAGCAGAGGCTTTTTTCTGGCAACCCCCCTCCTAAAACAACTTGTGGTTATATAGGTGGTGTTTGATTGTAGTTTGTAGTACTGACCCCAAGACCTAACTAATATCTGCAATTCCCCATCTGTGATCCTTGGAGATTCTTTGTCTACTCAAACCATCCTCCTCACTGTGTGTGGGGTCAGTATAGACATATGTCCTCTTCATGGCAGATTCTTAACATCTCCATTTGTTTTAAGCTTCTTATTTATTGCCCTGATAGTGGAAATGTAATATATATATATATATATATATATATTATATGTGTGTGTGTGTGTGTGTGTGTGTGTGTGTGTATGTGTGTGTGTATATAAAATTAGTACAAAATATGGTCTGAAATTAGGCACTTATACTGATTGCTTATAATGGAACACTATAAGTAGAGATTCTAGGTACAAAATTATTTAAAAAAAAACAAAATGGGACAATAGTTATAATACTGTTAATATAAATAGTATAAGATATATAATTTAATGTAAATCTTCATATATGGAACATTTAATAATTTTACAGTTATATTTAAAAAATATAAAAAATCAGTTATATTTCCTTCAACACAAAAGAGAAAAAAAACTTTTGTATCACTAGAACTCAATCAATCAATTAGATGACTGATAATACCAGCCATCATTGATGAGTGGCAAATTTAGCAATATTAATGAAAATATCATTGATACGCCAATGATTAGCATTCTTTGATCTGTGGTGTTGCCAAGATTCACACATGTGAAATAGATAATAGAGCAAGTTTGCCTAGTGAGTGCACAGTTAGCAACTGCTAAACTTAAAATCAGGTCTGGGCTTCAAGCAGGCTAGTTTAGCACCTGCACTCTCTTACTACACAGCCACACTGTTCACATACTGTAACATGCAGAATGTGGTTTGACTTGCTGAAAGAAGCAAGGAGGTCCCTGAAAAAGACATTGTCTAGATGGCAGCATACATTGCTCCAAAATGTGTATGTACCCCTCAGCATTAATGGTGCCTTCTCAGATGTTGTTCTTAAACTGTTAAACTAGTTTTTGCTTTTGGTCAATGTTCCTTTTATATCCAATCATGAAGGTATCATCTGTTATGTATTAACCTGTTCACTTACAGATAAAGTCCAAAACAGGTGCTTTTGATCATTCTATGAACTTCCCTGTCTTACATTGCTCCTGTTCCAACTTTCTGGGAATGTGTTGCAGGCATTAAATTCAGAATTAGCATATGTTTACAAAAAGTGGCAAAGTTGATGAGGTGAAATATTAAATAATTGTTTTTTGTGCTGTTTTCAATTAAATATCTTTTTTTTCAAGTTTACAAATCACTGCTTTCTGTTTTTAATTTCAATTTTACTTTTCTGGAATTGGGTTTGTTTGGAAATTTGGCAACCTAGTATTACTTGTACTTATCATGTAATACCAAGTTAAGTCCAGTTAAATCAGGTTTTCCGCTGATGGAATTTAAACACACACGTGTGTCTGTTGACTGCACATGAATAAAATATGTTACATCAATTACTGTCTTTCGTCTGACTTCTTTTGGCATGAATGTAACACATTTTATTCACGTGGAACTGAGTAACACATTTGAATCATCTAAATTCACGACTCTGTTTTCTTCAGTGCATAAACAGAGCTACAGCTGTAAACCTGGTCCATTAATGCAGACTTCCTGTGAAGAGAGCGTCATATGTATGTGCATATTGATTATTTTTTACAGGAGCCTTGGATGAATCAATGAATCATCAACATTCAGGAAACACTTGTCGAGCAGTTTTCCTCTGAGCTCCTGCGCTTTCATTCTCCTTCTCTCCCTGCTTATGCATTCCAGACCCTCATTGGAGAAGGGGCTGGGGAATTCCGCTAAATAGTACCTTGCCTGACTGCCAGTAACTGACGTGGGAGTTGCAGAAATCCCACACCATATAAGTTCTAGAGCCGTCCTCTGCTCTTCACTTCGTACTTTCACTAGATGCTGTAAACTTGAGGAGAAAACTGTTCATTTTGTTGTTCTCTCACATTTATTTCTATTTGAACTGCTTTATCATGGCTTTTTTACCCAGAGCTCTTTGCCTGGTCCTGGTTGCAGTTGTTTGCATCCAGCTCAGTAATGGTAAGTGACGCACTTTGAGATATTTTGTGTTTACTTGAGTAATTATTATTATGCTTGGTTGCTTTTAGTTGGATCTGTGCAGAAACTACTTGTGCTGCAGTAATTCATGATGGGTGAACATTGAGAACACATTATAAAATGAGTACTGTTTAAAAAAGTGGTCTGAAAAAAAGGCACTTATGTTGATTGTTTTAATAGAGCTGTGACAAAAATCGCTAATTATATTTGAAAGCTGCTCTTGAAATGTACATTTAACCCTTTTAACTGCAGTCTTATCATCTTTTTACTCCCAAAGCTTATTACTTAGTAATTACAATACATTGTTTAGTAACTACGTGTAGTTAACATGTAAGGTGTGCAGTTTTGAGAGTGAGGAATTGAAATGGTGATCTTATGCTTTATCATGCGTTAATCTCTATTTCTCTCCATCCATGATTCACAGCTACGGTGATACCAGTTAGGTGTGAATGCCTGAGCACCTCCTCCAGACCTTATCCTTTAAAGTTAATTAAAGAGTTCTCCATCACTCCACCACACAGTCACTGCAAAGACACTGAGATCATGTGAGTATCCTTCAGCTTGTTAATTGCTTGCAATTCTAAATTTACCTTCTCATCAGAACTGGACACTTTGGGATGTTCAAACTTCTGATGCATTAGTTTGTGTAAATAAGTCACTGTGGCAGGTGTATATGCCTGTCCTACATGACTATTCCAAGCTGAATTATTATCATTGAAGAGCAATTTTGGCTGCTTGTTCATACAATGTTTTCCTGGGTTTTCAGACTGACTCTGCACAATCCAGACACGGGAAAGATCGATATGCGCTGTCTAAGCCCAGACTTACACCAGGCTAAGAAACTTGAGATGTGCTGGAACAGGTACGAACTCAATGATAAACTCATAGCTCAGTCCAAACCTCAGTCAGTAGTTACTGTCAGGCTGGTTTTAATACAGCCAGTATAGCTTTTAGCTAATCCTGGGACAGGCTGAATGCTATTTGGGCAGTGGGCAGATCTTTTTTGGGTCTATGATGACACCAGAAAACTGATAACACATTTTAAAGAGACTGACTTTCCATTTATAAAGGGGAAGTGAATTGATTTTTCAATATTTCTTGAAATATTAAATATTGAACTCATTCAGAGTGGTATGATGTGAAATACGCTTTTCTAGAGAAACTGACAGTCAAGAACTGTTCACAGTGGTAGTGATGAGAACCAGGTATCTGCAGAGTTTAATGCCTCTAAAAGCCTCCTCACAGAAAGCTATTTCACAAAATGGTTATGAATACTTTCCCTGATGACCGAGACTATGTATTATGAGAGGTATAGCAGGGGATTGTTAGGCGAGATAGTACCAAATTAAATCTTTTTTTTTTTTGTGACATTACTTTTTACCATATAATCCAAATCTCAAGTTTTGATCGGTTTGGCCAATGTTCATATATTTACTACAGATAACACAGATGTATTAAAATCACATTCTTTTTATCCTAACAGGAAAAATAAAGACAACAAGAAAAGGCTCAAGATTTCTGAATGCCTACCGAGAAAGTGAAAGCACACGTTTAGAAGATCAAGACAGATGGAAAGGAAAGTGAGCACGGTGGTAAAGCTCAGACAGTGTAGAGTGCGGGAATTCCTGGAACCATGTGACCAATGAGAATCCAGTGGGATTGAGGGACTGCTGTTATTTGAGACTCTGACTCCTCCTGGAGTTGAGAAATCACATTAGAACTCTGGAACCCTGGAAGATCTGAGACTGTCACACGCAGATGTTTCCCAGCAAGATTTAGGGCTCCTTGGAGAACTGTAAGAATGAAAGTTGCAGCATTGCCAATTTTATGCACAAACAGACTATTGGCATTCTTTCTTTTTTCACAACCAGTATTTAAAACACTTTATTTTAAATCTTATTTATTTGTTGAAGGATTTAATATGATGTTTGAGTTATGTAATAAAATGCTTACATTATGTACAAACTTTTCCATGTTTTGTAGTTTAATGTCTTCTTCGCTTAAGCAATGAGCAATGCACAACAATGCACATCAAACTTTCAACAGTTTTCATTATTAGCCCTTTTAACAGTCTTCATTATTAGCCCTTTCACTGTAGTTAAATATGTTTTCTGTGACTGCACGGTGAGTGAGTGAGTGTGTTTGTTGCCCTGAGGCAACAATCTGCACCAGAGGTTACAAAATAGACAATGAAAGGCAAAACTGGACTAAAATAAAGAAATGCATTGCAAATGACATTATTATCAAATAAATACATTTTAGAAAACCAAACAGCCGTTTTAAAAAAATAGTAAAAGAGAAGAAAGAAAGAAAGAAACTGAGCGAGAGAAAGTGAGAGAATCAAGCCAAATAAGCTTTAAGTTCCTCCAGATAAATCCAAGCTGTTCTGTCATGTCCTGCATTGACCCAGGCTGTTATTGGTTTAAGGGGAACCCCCATCTACTGGCTGCTTCACAACATTTAACCCCAGTGGGCTTAATCTACAAACTCAGACTTTAGCATTAAGCAGAAATGAGCAAACAGTGATGGGTCGGATCACGATGTTTCTTTCTGAGAATCAGTCCTCACATTAAAATGTTGCTTGTTTACTTTAAGCAGTAAACCAAAAATGTATAATTTTATGGAACTCAGTGAGAATTTGATGTTGAAAAGGTAAACCCAATGATATCTGTAGTATAGGAACTACTTTTTCTTCCATCCCCCTGTTCTTCATATACACACAGCCACATGATCACTCAAAGTTATTTCACCCACTGAACGTACAGTTTGTGTCCATTTTTTTAATACTAATGCAAAAGCTTTCAAATATATTATTTGATGTCCACATTTTTTATTTTTTACTGTAGTATTCACAAAGATTTCTCATTTTTATGTGCACAAACAGACTTGTAATGAAATTTCCCACATATACACACGTTTGCTATTTGTTTTTATTTGAACTTAATGAAAGTTGAAACAGATGGAGATTTAGAAGTACATAGTCAAACCTGTCAATACATAGTAAAAAGATATCCTAAACTAAATAATAAATTAGGTAATTATAAAGGTGGTTTTGACTACACTCCTAACTGTATGTGCAAAAATATGTAATTAGTGGCTCTCAAAATTAGAAATTATTATCTCACACACATGTAAATATGTATATATTTAAAAAAAGTTGGGACACTGCACAAAATGTACATAAAAACAGAATTCAATTATGTGCATATTATTTAAACCCTAGATTTAATTGAAAATATTACAGAGACAAAATATCAAATTTTAAAACTGAGAAAAATATATGGCCATTTTTAATTTGATGCCAGCAATACCTTTCAAAAAAATTATGAAGAGTGCAATAAAAGGCTAGTAAAGTTGTGTAATGCTCCAAAAAAAACACCTGGTGGTTAATTGGTCACAAGTCAGTAAGATGATGGGTATAAAAAGAGCATGCCTGTGTGAAAGACTGCAGGGGCAAACAGTGCAACAATTCAAGAATAACTTTTCTCAACATAAGATAACAAATAACTTGGGGATTTTGTTATCTACAATACATAAAATCATTAAAAGATTCAGACAATCCAGAGAAATCTCTGTTTATAAGGGACAAGACTGAAAAAAACAATACTGGCTAATCATGATCTTTGGGCCCTCAGGTGGCACTGCATTAAAACAGACATGATTCTGTAGTGGAAATCACTGCATGGGCTTAGGAACACTTCTGAGAACCACTGTCTGTGAAACAGTTTGTCACTGCATCCACAAATGCAAGTTAGAACTCTATCATGCAACAAAGAAACCATATATAAACAGGATCCAGAAATGCTGCCATCTTCTCTGGGCCTGAACCCAATGACAGTTATAAAACAAATTTAAATTCTTTTTGGAAATCATGGACACTGGATCCTCTGGGCTAAAGACCACCCAGCTTGTTATCAGCGCACGGTTTAAAAGCCAGCATGCGTGATGGTGTGAGGTGCATTAGTGCACATGGCAAGGGTGACTTGCATATCTGTGAAGGAACCAATAATGCTGAATGATATATACATGTTTTGGAGCAACATATGCTGCCACCCAGATGATGTCTTTTTTAGGGAAAGTCTTGATTATCTCAGCAAGACAATGTCAAACCACATTCTCCATGTATTACAACAGCATGGCTCTATGATAAAAGAGTCTGGTCACCCATTAAAACATTTGGCATGTTATGAAATGAAAAACTTGACAAAGGAGTCCCTGAACTATTGACCAGCTGAAATCCTACATCAAGCAAGAGCCGGAAAACGTTTCAATGCAACATAAAGGTAAACATGCCCCTGTCCCAACTTTTTTGGAACGTGTTGCTGACATCAAATTAAAAATGGGCAGATATTTTTCAAAAAACAATAACAATTCTCAGTTTCAACATTTGATATGTGTCACGCCTCCCTCCGGCATGGCTGGAACCACAGCCAACTCTGCCGCCTCAAGCTACAATTCCCAGAACCCCTCACTGCCTCACATGACTCTAGACTCCAACAGACCAACCTATCAGCACTCATCCTCACCGGACTTCTAATCACACACACCTGTTCCTCATTCCATGTTTTTGTTAGTTTAGTATATAAGCCCAGGCTTTAGTTATTTGCGAAGTATCGTCTCAGCATTAGCATACTGAGCGTTCTTTCCTTGCCTGTTTATTGACTTCTGTGTATGACCTGTTTTTCTGACCTTGAATTTGCCTTACCCGTTTGTCTTGTTGTGGATCTCTGGTTTTTGACCTCTTGCTCTGGCTTTACGACTGTGATTTTGGATCATTCCATTGTTATTAAACATCTTAGCTCAAGCTTCGTCTCCAAGCATCTGGTTCCATCTACCATTGTTACAATATGTTTTACATTTTACATTTACAGCATTTAGCAGACGTTCTTATCCAGAGCGACTTACAAAAAGTGCTTTGTCTATCCAGAGAAAGTATCTTTGCTAGTTACCAATAGGTTAGAGAGAAAGCCAGTCCTGAGCTCATATATTGCGTTAAACACAGAGCAGTGCAATACAATACAATACATAAGTGCAGTACAATACATTACAATCAATACTTAATTCAGTGCTCATTTAAGTGCTGTACAAAGAGATGTGTCCTCAGTCTGCGTTTGAAGACAGTGAGAGACTCTGCTGTACGGACAGCCAGTGGGAGTTCGTTCCACCACCTGGGTGCCAGCACAGAGAACAGTCTTGATGCTTGCCTTCCGCGTGCGCCTTGAAGGATGGCAGGTCAAGCCGAAGGGCTCGTGGTACAGTTCGAGATTTCACCATTGCCATCAAGTAGGGAGGTGCTGGTCCATTTTTGGCTTTATAAGCAAGCATAAGGGTTTTAAATCTGATGTGTGCAGCTACAGGAAGCCAGTGAAGGAGGGGTGAACTTGGGGAGATTGAAGACGAGCCGTGCTGCTGCATTCTGGATGAGTTGCAGAGGCTTGATGGCAATATGTTGTCTTTGTACAATTAAGTGTAGGGTTTACATGATTTGCACATCATTGCATTCTATTTTTATTTACATATTAGATGCGCGCGCGCACACACACACACACACACACACACACACACACACACACCCTTTCACCCTGTTCTTCAATGGTCAGGACCCTCATAGGTCCACCACACAGCAGATATTATTTGGGTGGTAGATCAGTTTTCAACACTACAGTGACACTGGTGTGGGCATGTTAGTGTGTGTTACGCTGATACGAATGGATCAGACACAGCAGTTTTCAAACACTGTGCCCACTCTATTAGATACTTCTACCTTGTTGGTCCACCTTGTAGTGTAAAGTCAGAGACATTAGTTCATCTGTTTTTTAATTTACAAATCACTGCTTTCTGTTTTTATGTGCATTTTACTTTTTTGTAATACCAAGTTAAGTCCAGTTAAATCAGGTTTTCTGCTGATGGGATTTAAACACACACACACATGCTTGAACCAAATGAGTCAGTTGATTCCACATGAATAAAATGTTACATCAATTACTTAATAATCTTTCATCTCACTTCTTTTGGCAAGAATGTAACACATTTTGCTCATATGGAACATCTGAGTGAATCATCTAAATTCATAGCTCTGTTTTCTTCAGTGCATAAAAAGAACTACAGTTACACTTCCTGTGAAGTGAGTGTCATATGTATGTGTATATTAATTATTTTTTACATCAATGAATCAAATTAATTAAATCAATGAATCAACAACCTATGAATGAACATTCAGGAAACACTTGTCTAGGCTCTCTGTCTTCGTCTGAGCTCCTGCACTTTCATTCCCCTTTCCTCCCTCCTTATGCATTCCAGACCCTCATTGGAGAAGGGGCTGGAAAATTCATTAAATAGTACCTTGCCTGATTGCTAGTAACTGACATGGGAGTTGCAGAAATCCCACACCATATAAGTTCTAGAGCCGTCCTCTGCTCTTCACTTCACACTTTCACTAGATGCTGTAAACTTGAGGAGAAAACTGTTCATTTTGTTGTTTTCTCGCATTTATTTCTATTTGAACTGCTTCATCATGGCTTTTTCACCCAGAGCTCTTTGCCTGGTCCTGGTTGCAGTTGTTTGCATCCAGCTCAGTAATGGTAAGTGATGCACTTTCATTTTGTGTTTACTTGAGTAATTCACGATGGGTGAACATTGAGAACACATTATAAAATGAGTACTGTTTAAAAAAGTGGTCTGAAAAAAAGGCACTTATGTTGATTGTTTTAATAGAGCTGTGACAAAAATCGCTAATTATATTTGAAAGCTGCTCTTGAAATGTACATTTAACCCTTTTAACTGCAGTCTTATCATCTTTTTACTCCCAAAGCTTATTACTTAGTAATTACAATACATTGTTTAGTAACTACCTGTAGTTAACATGTAAGGTGTGCAGTTTTGAGAGTGAGGAATTGAAATGGTGATCTTATGCTTTAACATGCGTTAATCTCTATTTCTCTCCATCCATGATTCACAGCTACGGTGATA